TTTAAAATAGATAGGGTTACTGTAGAATCCGCTTAGAACAAGTTTTATAGACTGTTTTTAATGTAGTTTCGAATGAGCTATAGTATATCCAAATAAGTCATGTATTCGCGGAGAAACACCCCTCTGAGTCTTCCATGTCCCAAAAATATTCAAAAAATTTTTTTCTAAAATTTTTTAAAATAGATAGGGTTACTGTAGAATCCGCTTAGAACAAGTTTTATAGACTGTTTTTAATGTAGTTTCGAATGAGCTATAGTATATCCAAATAAGTCATGTATTCGCGGAGAAACACCCCTCTGAGTCTTCCATGTCCCAAAAATATTCAAAAAATTTATTTCTAAAATTTTTTAAAATAGATAGGGTTACTGTAGAATCCGCTTAGAACAAGTTTTATAGACTGTTTTTAATGTAGTTTCGAATGAGCTATAGTATATCCAAATAAGTCATGTATTCGCGGAGAAACACCCCTCTGAGTCTTCCATGTCCCAAAAATATTCAAAAAATTTTTTCTAAAATTTTTTCAAATAGATAGGGTTACTGTAGAATCCGCTTAGAACAAGTTTTATAGACTGTTTTTAATGTAGTTTCGAATGAGCTATAGTATATCCAAATAAGTCATGTATTCGCGGAGAAACACCCCTCTGAGTTATCCATGTCCCAAAAAATATTCAAAAAAATTATTTCTAAAATTTTTTCAAATAGATAGGGTTACTGTAGAATCCGCTTAGAACAAGTTTTATAGACTGTTTTTAATGTAGTTTCGAATGAGCTATAGTATATCCAAATAAGTCATGTATTCGCGGAGAAACACCCCTCTGAGTTTTCCATGTCCCAAAAAATATTCAAAAAAATTTTTTCTAAAATTTTTTCAAATAGATAGGGTTACTGTAGAATCCGCTTAGAACAAGTTTTATAGACTGTTTTTAATGTAGTTTCGAATGAGCTATAGTATATCCAAATAAGTCATGTATTCGCGGAGAAACACCCCTCTGAGTTATCCATGTCCCAAAAAATATTCAAAAAAATTATTTCTAAAATTTTTTCAAATAGATAGGGTTACTGTAGAATCCGCTTAGAACAAGTTTTATAGACTGTTTTTAATGTAGTTTCGAATGAGCTATAGTATATCCAAATAAGTCATGTATTCGCGGAGAAACACCCCTCTGAGTCTTCCATGTCCCAAAAAATATTCAATAAAATTTTTTCTAAAATTTTTTCAAATAGATAGGGTTACTGTATAATCAAGGGCTCGCCATAAAACTAGTCACATGTATTATATACAGAATTTAATGCTTTATCGAATGACATAATGCAGATCCATGAGTGATTTGATACCACGATTCGCACTCTTCGATAAAGCTTTTTGAAAAAAATTTTATGCTTGAACCAAAAAAAATTATTTATCTCACGCGTTTTGTGATTACGAATACTTCAATGTTCGAAGTTCTGCCCCTCACCCTTAAAATCAATAGAGAATTTTCATTTCAAAAAAAAATTATATTTTTTTTCACGTGATTTTCCTTGAATTATAAAATGATCTGTCTAAAATTGACTTTTTTTCTTCTATTAAAGCTTTGAATTTAAAAAAAGACAAATGACGATTGAACTTTAGAGCTTTTACTTTTTTTGCTTCAATTTGTTCACTTAAAATTTTTTACTGTGTATTTTTTTTTCGTCAGCAAACACACAGACAAACTTTTGTTCTCTCTCTTTTAAATTTCAAATTTTTTTATGGTTTGAATCATTCATTGAACAACATCCGACAGCAAGGGGATGTTGTCCCAAAGACGGGGAAGTTTCTCGATCCTTCTTTAATGAGACTCAATTGTCACTTTAAATTTTTCCAGTCTCATCACTTCCGTACTCTGCTGTTCCCTTACTCTCTCAAGTCTTCATTTCAATGCGCAGCAAGAGACTGAAAAAGAATTTTTTAATCTGAGACTCTAACATCCCTGGACTTAATTTTCCTAAAGTTTCTCGATCCTTCTTAAACCAGACTCTAATGTCCATTTAAATTTTACCATCCTCATTTCCGTTCTCTACTATCCCTATACTCTAGTGTCCACTTTCTTGTATTTTGTACTCTCTTCCCATAGTTACACGCAATTTTGTCTAGGTATTTTTTCTCTTTTTCTTTATCATCCATTGTCTCTCATCAAAAATCAATTTTATATATTTGTCCTTCTCTTCACTTAATAGTGTTCGTTGTTCAAAAAAATTTTTATTGCATTTTTAAAAAGAATCTCTTCCCACTTTTTTTTTGACGAGAAATCATTAGGAGGAACATTTTTATAAAATTTTTTGTTCTTTTCATTTTTATAAGAAGAAAGACTGGAGGAATTTGCTTAGTTTAGTTAGTTTAGAATTTTTTAAAGCTTATAGGGAGGTCAAAAAAGCTTTCTGATTCATTAACAGACTTTGTATTTTGTTGTGATTTTGTCAACAATTTTGTTTATTGTTTTTGTTTATCTATTTTATTGTCTATTGAAATTCAGTGTGAGGAGGTTGTTTATTTTTTTGAAATATCGATTGAAATACTGATCTTTGATCACCTATCTTGTTGATCGTTCTCAAATTTTAGACAATTTGTCTTTCTTAAGGGTTTCGACATTTTATTTTTCGATTAATTAAATTCGACATTTTGAAATTCACTTTGATTTACACTTTAAAGTTCTCCTACTTTACTATAAAAGCCGATACCGTCTGCAAACTTTTTCTTTTTTCACGTAGAGTTAATCGTCTGTCTTTTAGGCGCGGTTCGTTTTTTTATCTTTCCTTACTTTTTCGAAACTTTTGTCCCCTTTTCATATTCGCGCTTACCATTCATCGTTAATTCAACTTTAAAATTCCCATTTTTCAGATTGTACAGACAAGTTTAACCTTGTGTGACTTTATCTATATTCTTGTCTAAATCTAACAAATTGTAACAACAAACAAAAATGGGCGAGCAAGACAAAAAGAAGGCTGGCGGCGGCGATGGTGGCAAAAAGAAGGACGGCTTCGATGCCAAAAAGTTTGCGATTGATTTGGCTTCTGGAGGAACTGCTGCTGCGGTTTCTAAGACGGCTGTGGCGCCTATTGAGCGTGTCAAGTTGTTGCTACAGGTTTTCTTGTGTTTCAACTAAATTTACCTTTCAATCATTTAAAGGTTCAAGACGCTTCTCAGCACATCGCTGCCGATAAACGCTATAAGGGAATAATTGATGTGCTTGTTCGTGTGCCCAAAGAACAGGGAGTCCTTGCTTTTTGGCGTGGTAATCTGGCTAACGTGATTCGTTACTTTCCAACGCAAGCTCTCAACTTTGCGTTCAAGGACACTTACAAAAGGATCTTCATGGAAGGGTATGTTTGTTAAGGGGGTGTCTTGGGTTTAGGAAGGTTTCGGGTAGGGGTTTTCGAACTCTTCTTGAAATCGAGTTTCTGTTTGGTAAAGGTTCGGTTCTCTGGTTTTGTGGGCAGCCCGTGAGTCCGCCCTTATACAGAAAATCTTTCTTCTTCACCTTGGTTACGGGACTGCCTATGTCTTATCTAATGGTGTTTAACTATGCATTTTCTAGTGTTGACAAGAACAAACAGTTTGGCAAATTCTTTTTGATGAACTTGGCTTCTGGTGGTGCTGCTGGTGCTACTTCTTTGGCTTTTGTCTATCCTTTGGACTTTGCTCGTACTCGTTTGGCTGCGGACGTTGGAAAGTATAAAAAGCTGTCATGAATATTGATAGAAAAGCTTTTTTTCAAAATTTATTTTTAAGGGCCGGAGCTCGTGAGTTCAATGGACTTGCTGATTGTCTCGTCAAAATATTCAAATCTGATGGTCCTATTGGTTTGTATCGAGGATTCTTCGTCTCTGTTCAGGGCATTATTATCTATCGTGCGGCATATTTTGGCTGTTTTGACACTGCAAAGATGTATTTTGCTAAAGATGGACAGAAATTGAACTTCTTTGTGAGCTGGGCTATTGCTCAGGTTTTCTTTTTTGATCTTATTTTTTGTGGGTCTTAAGTTGTGTGTGTGATTTGAAACTACGGGAGCGTGTTTACCTCTATAGCTTAAGCAAGGGCGTTGTCCATGGGGCAAATTTATGAAGGAGATATCGCTAACTTCGAAATTCAGTGGTGGCTTTACATGAGGGTCTCATTCTTGGGGTGCTACAATTTGGCCTTATGCCTTATGATCTGGAAACCTTTTGGGAGTTGGCTAGGTTCCTATTGATACAAGAATCCCTGAAACTTTCCTTTAACTTTTATTACTTTTCTATTAATTAACTTTAGGTTGTGACTGTCTCTTCTGGAATTCTTTCCTATCCTTGGGACACCGTTCGTCGGCGTATGATGATGCAATCTGGACGCAAGGATATTCTCTACAAGAGTTTGTGTTTTCATTCTATGAATTTATTTAACTTTTTAATTTAGACACTTTGGACTGCGCCATCAAGATCATCAAGAATGAGGGTCCTCAGGCTATGTTCAAGGGAGCGCTTTCCAATGTTTGAATTTTTTAAAATTTTCTTGAAATTTAAAAATCTTTCTTTAAAGGTCTTCCGTGGTACTGGTGGTGCATTAGTGCTCGCCTTCTACGAGGAGATTCAAAAGTATGTTCATCTAATCTAGAGAGAGGGAAGAAGTAAAGACGGAGAAGGATGATGAGAGAGATGGATATTAAATTTGTGTTTTGATGCTGCCCTTTTTTTCTCAAACAGGAAGTTTAAAAATTAAAAATAGGAAGGAAAAAATATTAAAAAGTTTTTTTGTTTCCTTCATAAAATATTAAAAAAATTTTGTTGTCTCTTCCCCTTATGTTTTCTATAAATAATACCCTTTATATAGTTAATTTTTGTCTCTCTTCTCTAAAAAGAAAATTCTCTCTCAAAATATTTTTCTAAAAAAATATTATTATTTGTTCTATTCCTCAAACTATTATAGAGACTTTTTTGAGAAAATAAATGGATTGTTAGGTTGTTTGGTTTTTTTGTTTAATTAGTGGATTTTAACCAGTTTAGAGTTCTTTAAGAAAATTTAGGTTTAAGGTAAGAAAAATGGAAGGAGGAGAATTAGGAGATGGGCATTTGTATTTAACAACGAAAAAAAATTTGTTGACAAAATCCGTGGTACTGGTGACAGAATTTTCTGAAAGAAATCGAGAGGATAGTCTGCTTGCCCATTTCCTTTGTGTTTAATATATTAATTTAATTGTTTGATTTTAGATTCTTAGAAAATTGAAATGAGATGAGGATGATAAGTTTAAAATTTAGCTGTTGTTGTTCACGTTGTTTTTTTAATTGAGAAGTTACTCTTGGATACAGAGAGCTCTTACTGGCTACTTGAAATAAAAAATTTTTAATGAAGGTTTAATTTTAACTTTTAATTTCTTTTTAGATTTCATTGAGTTATTTCCTGTCCGATATAATTTTTTTTAATTCCTCCAATTATGGAAAATATTTCTTCAAGTCAATTACCTCAAAGTATTTATGGATCTACTTCAAAGGAAACAACAACAAAATTGCCTTCAAGTCAATATCAAAGCACAGAATGTATTTTATATGGAAGCATTACAAATTTGGAGAAGGGACAATTTATTGAAAGATTAAAAGGTTTATGTGATCCCGGTGGACCTGTTGCTTTTTTTGAACATAATATGGTTTTTAAATTGAGTAAGGAGGTTTATTTAGATTTGGGGAGAATGTGGGGGTAAGGTAATGCCTTTTTGATAGATTTGCGGCCTAATGATTTTTTGGTTCCGTTCCCGCTAAAATTTTTGAGCCAATAGGGATTGAACTAGGACATACTGCTGGAAAAAAACAACCGCTGGACTTGAATCTTCCTTGCATTTTGACTGCTTTTTGTACTTGAGGATTCTATTTGAGGAGATTTTCAGACATCCCCTGCTCTCTTTCTAGTCCCTTACTACGCCCTTTCAAGTCTTAAAATGATTTTTTATTTTTAGAAACAGGCACAGATTCTCCAGTTCAAGTCCAAATGCGCCGTCGTTTCAAAACTGATAATCTTCATTGGCATTGTCGTTATATTGCTATACCAGAGACTGCTGTTAAAGATGTTATTGTTCGCAAAGTTATTGATTCTTTAATTTATTCAAATGATATGATGAGTTTTGTAAAGTCGTTGGGATTGAGGTTGTTTTTTAATTTTGGAATATTTTTAATTTTGGGACACGAAAAGTAAAATAGAAAATCAGAAAACATTCTGACGGAATTTTTATAAAACATTCTTTTTATAAAGACTTACTAAAAATTATCACACTTAACCAAAAATTAAAAAACCCGACAAATTTTAATTTAGAACTAAATCGAGGTTTTAGTTAAGTGGGATATTTTCTGAAATTATCCCTGAAAATTCTAATTTTGGTCTTAGAAAATTTTTGAATTATCCCACTTAACCTAAAAATCAAGTTTGCTTGAAAAAGTTTAATCTTAAAACAGAATCGAGGTCTTGGTTAAGTGGGATAATTTTACAATTTTCTGCGGTATGGTTTTTAACAGTTTTTCGCTTTAAAAATTTTTCTAGGCTCATGGAAATTTATTAAACATAATTTTTAAAAAAATTTGAATGTATAAAAATATTTTCTAGAATGGAATATGAATACATTGCTAATGGATTTCTTTTTACAAAACGAGATATTCGGGTTTATTTTCTCCTTAAAAATTGAAAAAAAAAAACAAAACTTTTTTTCAGGTAATAATGTATCAAGTAATGTGTTCTGACACAATTGGAAATTATAACAAATTAAAACAATTTGGAGAATCTTTTTTGGTTGAAGCTTCAATATTAGTACCTGATGGGCAACCTTATGAAGGGGCAATAAAAAATTTGAAAGAATTTGCTGATCAATTACTGCCTATATGCAAATTGGAATATCTGGATTATATTAATAAATAGAAATTGGAGAAGAATGGAGAGTAAAGGGTTTATTTTTTACAATTTAATTATTTTTGGTATTTCCCTGGCATGCGGACATATCGGGATGGTCAGTTACCCTACTGATTTTGTGACCTACAGCCACTGGGTATTCTTTGCTTCTTCATTAGGAGGATCCATTTTTTAATTATTAATTTTTAACAAAAATTAAACAAAATTAAAATAATTTTATGGAAAAAATATTTTCTTAAAAAATTTTTTTTCTTCAAAAATTTTCTTTTCTTCATGTTTTTAATCAAAAGCTTCATCCATTTCCTCTTCCAATTCTGTTTTTGTTATTTTTCCTTTTTTAAACTTTTTAAGCAATTTTTCGCCTTTTTGTAATTGTTCCCATTCTGGTTGTTTTCTCTTCCTTTTATTTGATGTTGGTTTTCCTGATGATTTTCCTCCTCCATTTTGCTTGTTGTTGTTATTATCTTCTACGCTTGATTGATCGTCTTCATCTTCTTCATCTTCATTGTTTGTATTATTAAGCTCTTCCATACTTGTCATTTTTCCTGAAATAAGAAAAAAATTTAACCTAATCCATCGATATTTAGAGATTCCGACGAAATATTTGAAGATCGTCCCCTTACCCCGCTCCCTGGCTATGGGTCTGCTAAGGGTTCATTAAACTCTTAAGAATTAACATTTCTAAAAAAAATTCTCAAAAAGAAACCTTTTATCATTTTTCCACTTTTAAACTTTTGCTGCTTTGTTTGTCCTCCCCCATCATTTGCAGCCATTCTTCTCATTTTTCTTCTTTCATGTTTTTCCATTCTCTTTTTATTTTTTTCTTCCATTTCTAATCTCTTCATTTCTAATTTATCATCTTTATATTTTATTTCATTAATTTTTATATCTAATCTTGACTGAAATTTTGCAATTAAATCTTGTCGTCCAGCCAATTCACGAATTTTTGGAAAGCGTATAAGGCCAAAAGAATTTGCTAAACCAACAATATCCAAATCTTTTGAAATTTTTAAAATTTAAAGAAAAATTCAAAAAAGAAAACCTTTAACTTTACAAACAATTTGGGTGTCGTGTCTGTTGTATGCTTCGATGAATGAAACAAATGCAGCAGTTCCAAGCTCGAGAAATTTTCTTTAAAAAGGAAATTAGCAATAAGATTAATTAGAAAATATTTTTCTGGGTGGGTTATTTTCACTGGGGTTTCTTTTTAAAGTTTTTACATCCTAGTAGGATTGCCCTAGTATGTGAGGGTTCGCATCTTTACAAGGAAAACTTCGACGAGATTTGGTCTTTCGTTGTAATTTTTTCAATTTCCTTTGTACAAATTTTGCTAGGGGTTTCCAATATTTCTTAAAATTTTCTTTGCTTCGATGTCTTACAGGGTGTTGGTGTTTATGGTATCGATTTGGGTCTTCATTAAAAATTTTTTTTTCAGATTTTCTTTTACTAGGACCTTATAGGTTACTGTTATTGCCAGGCTTTTTTAAGTGTAAGTCTTCCGTTTTATAATTAAAAAAAACCTGTCTTCACTAGCCATTTGTTGTATCTTTTCTTTAATTTTGAGTGCTTTCTCTTCAGTTAAACCTCCAAATTCACTTTCTTCCAAAACAACTTTTTCTTGATTTTCTAAAAATTGAATATAAGCAGATTCTTCATTAGTTAATAATATTAAAGATTTCCCAATTCTTCCCATTCTTCCGGCTCTTCCACTTCGATGAACATAAAGTTTTGATAATTTTGGAAAATCGTATTGTAATACCCAGTCAATGTCTAATACATCAATTCCACGTGCTAAAACATCTGTTGAGAATAATATTGCTCTTTTTGTACTGCGAAATACGTCTAACTGTTGAAAAAAGATTTTTTTTTAATTAAATTTTTAAAAGTGAAAAATTGAAGGGAGCCGAACGGATTCGAACCCATGACCCCAGAGTCTGCTTCGAAAATCTATATCAAGCATGGCGACTTTAAAAAATTTTTTTGAGTCTCTCTGACCTCGTGGTATTTTGTCTGATCCAGTGTTAAAACCAACCAAAAAAATTTTTTGGGGGACCTTAACGGATTTGACCCGCTTAAGTGGAAAGAGGCTACCAAGATAAAAAAAATTTCTTACCACTTTTTGTCTTTTTCCTTCCATTTTTCTATGCATTTCCATTACAACTCTTTCATCATCTTCTAAAAGTGAACGTGCAATTATTCCAAAATATTCACATTGTGCTGAATTTGAACAGAATACAAGTATCTTTTCGTTATGTTGGGATTTTAAAAATTTGATCAAAGCCAAAAATTTGAATTCTGCTGGGACACACTTAAAAAATTTTTTTTCTATTTTTATAAAAAAATGAGCACTTTTTGGATACCCCTCTCATTTCGAGTCTCTGTAAGCTGTACAAATGGACAGCCTCCTTCTTTTTCTTTATTAATGTATCTTATTTGAATAAGCCATTGGAAATTGAAGAAGGAGGAAAGTCTGGCCATTATGGCATCCTAAAAATTCGAGACTCAAAAAAGGGGAGGGGGTATCCAAAAAATACGAGATAAGTTCAAACCGCATAGTAATTGATTAATTCTTTTGGTGTAACAATTGAACCGTCTTCTTGCTTTATTTCCTTCTTTTCTTCCTCTTGATTATCTTCTTCTCCTTTTTCATCTTTATTCATTTGTATTATATTATCTGAACCTATAGTTAATTTTAACGGATTTCTAAGTCCAAAACGAGCTAATTCGTTAACTTTTGTTTCGAATTTGTCGGCCATTTCTGTAGCAGAAAAAAGAGCAGAACGTCGCTGTTTTGGCAAAATAGAGAGTACTGAACAAATGCTAGAAAAAAAAATTTATTTTTAAATAATGACCTTAAAGAAATATTTTGGACCTTTAAGGAACATTTTTAAGAGTTTTTGGGGATACGGAGATGAACTTAAATGAAGAAAAAATTCGAGGGACCCGAACGGGTTCGAACCCATGACCCCCAAAAATGGTATCCAATTTTATTTTTTATTTACTTTTAAAGTTTATAAGTGATAAGACGGATTATTTTAATAAAATTTTGAAACCCTTTCCTTGTGTTAAAATAAAAAAATTATTAAAAACAAAACTCAAACCTTTTTCTTGTATCTTGATCCTTAAATTTGTCTGCTTCATCAATTATCAAAACTTCCAAAAATTTTAAATATTCCTTTAATTGATTGTGCTGGCTAATAAATGAATCAAAACGTCCAGGTGTTGTAACGACAACACTAAATTAAATTTAAAAAATTTTTTAAAATTAAAAAAACCAATTTCCTTTAAAATAATCAACGTCAACTTTCATTCTCTTTTTTCGTGCTCCACTCGAACCAAATAAACGAATTATTTTAAATTCAAGTTGTGAACATATTGGTTTACATAATTGAAATATTTGATTAACTAATTCTCTGCTGGGAACAATAATTAGACCAATAATTTTGCATGGGGCTTCTTTGCTTTGTTCAATCTAAAAGGAGAAAGTTAAAAGTTCCGTAAAATGAGGAGTTTGGTTGAGTGGTATTCTAACTTCCTCGAGTTTGGATTGTTAACAAGGGTAGCCCCATGCGAGTTAAACCACTTTTTTTTATTGTTAGAACTTTTCCTAGCCTTATAACCCCACTAAAAATTTTTAAAAAAGATCTCTCAAATTGGGAAGTTTAGCTGAGTGGTAATCCTCTAGGTTTTCAATAGTTAAACATTAAAGGTTCGAGCCCTTTGTTGGTTAAACAATGTTCTGTCTTGTTAAAATTTTTTGAAGAAATATTCCCAGGCTTAAAAACACTTAAGAATCCCTCGAAAAAATTTTTTTAATTAAAAATGAAACCTTTTCCTTCTTTTTAAGCAAAATATGCATCATAGGTAATATAAAAGCCAAACTTTTACCAGAACCTGTAGGTGATTGAACAATACAATCAAAATTTGAAAGCATTTTTTCGATTGTACATTTCTTTGGGGAAAAAAATTTTTTATAAAATAAAAAAACCTGCACAGAAGTTAGTTGAGTATGTCCCAATCCTTTTTTAAAATAATTTTGAATTTGGGGATCTAAAAGTTGAAGTACTTCTTCTTGTTGTTGAATTTCTTGTTTACCATCAGTTGCAGCCATTTTTAAAGTAAAATTTTTTTTAATTTCTGAACTAAAAGATGAAAAAAATATTTAAATTGCTCTATGAACAATTTTTATTTTACTAATAGAAGTAAAAAATTTCCAATTATTTTATTAACGAAAAGAAAAATTTTTAAAGGGGCTTTTGTGGATGAGCGCCATTTTAAATTCATTAAATTTGGACATTTTGATGCATGGACATTTTGTATCTTGGACATTAAGAGAAACTCCGAAAAAATAGATTTTAGGATTTTAACATTTTGAGACAGTAAATGGCGCTAAAATAAAATTAAAAAAAATTTCAGCAAAAAGGCTAAAAAAAACCAAAAAAATCCTAAGGCTTCAAAACTATCATCTTTTACATATTAACAACAAAAAACCTATATACTCTAAAATATCTTCCTACAAAAAAATCATCAAATATATACTGGACCACCAGTCCCCTTATCCTTCTTATCCTTCGCGGCCTTATCCTTCTCAGGCCAAATCTTCTTCATATTATTAAAAGTATATTCTTTATCATTCATCTTCGTTTTAAGATCAGAAAAAAGAGACATTTTAAAAGTTGACGTCTGAATACATTCACACATGTCTGCATGCTCGTGTGGAGTCAATTGTTGTACAGGATGGTAATAGGCAGAATAAAGAAGCGAGTCTACAGCGGGAGGTGCACCTTCCTTTTTATCCGGTCCAAGATCGCACTAGAAAAAAATTTTTTTAATCAGTAAAGAATAGGGGTGGGACACCGAAACTGAAAATCAGGGATCGAAAAAATAGGGGTCGAAAAAAGGGCCATAGCCAGGATTTTTTCGAGGAGAGGGGAGTGGGCATGGGGACTTATCAGTTGTCACGTCCCTGGAAACCAGAACAGAAGACTGGGGATCGAAAAAATTAGGGGGCGAAAACAGGGCCATATCCAGGATTTTTTCGGTGGGAGGGGGCAGGGGGACTTGTCAGTTGTCACAGCCCTGGAACCAGAAATGAAAACCGGTGATAACAGAAAAACAGAGGACCAGTTAATACCCGGCTATGTCCAATCCTAATAAAGAAAATCAGTTTTCTCTGGTTATCTATACCCAAAAAAGGACCCTAAAACCTCAAAAAAAATAATTCTAAAAACCTGCACTTCCTTTGAATCCACAAACACCATTTTCTTCTTTTTAACTTTTTTATCAGTTGTAACCTTTGTTAATGATAAATCCTCCATTTCCATTTTAATCGCAGTCTTAACATCTCCATCATTCTCTCCAATATCTGGAATTTCATCAACTATAACGATTGGTTTTGGTTCTATTTTTGGTTTTTCATTTTTCTTTTCTTCTTGTTTAACATCAATTGACGAATTTGTCTTTTTTGCTGACATTATTCTTCTAAAAATAAGGGGGAATTAGGTAAAAGTTGTCAAAAAAATTCTCAGATCAAGCAAAATAAATGATCGAAGATACAGTAAAAATAAAGAGATACTCGAACAAAAATTCAAAAAAAATTTTTTTTCAGAATGCCAACCTTTTCTTCTCAAAAATTCGAGAAAATTCCACAAAGTTGGAGAAAAATGACAATTTATCCCATTTTAAGTTTTTTTTTTCTTCGCGACAAAATGTCTGATTTACAAAACGCCACAAAGAAGAAAAATTTGTAAAATGTCACAAATTCTCCACTGACATTTTCGTATAAATTTGGTGTTTTGTAAAAAGTGAATATCAAAGTACAAGTTGGGAGCAAATTTTTTCTTGCAATTTGCTTCTATTTTTATTTGGTTTATCCATTTGTTTTGCTTAAATCATTTGATATTCTTTTTTTTACTTTAATTAATCTCCCCCTCTTCTTTTTTTAGATTTTACAAAGCAACTTTATATTCTCGATCTCTTTTTAATTATTTAATTCTGTTTTACAAGCAATATAATGGGCAAGGATTACTACAAGACTCTGGGAATTTCCAAAGGCGCTTCTGACGATGAAATTAAGAAGGCTTATAGAAAGATGGCGTTGAAATATCATCCGGATAAAAATAAAGAAGCTGGTGCTGAAGCTAAATTTAAGGTTTTTTTTGAGTTTTTTAAAGCTTGGTGGTTATCATGTTCCCGTAAAGGACTCGATTAGGAATTATTTCGAGGTTAAATTTTTGTTTACTGTGACTCCCTTTTTCATGCCCAAGCTTTCATTAGATATACAGAAGGGGGAGACCTTAAAAAATTTTTCTTTTTATTCTGAAGGAAGAGGTCTGACCCTTCAGTATATTCAAAGGTAAAAACCTAGCGAGAAAAAGGTGGACCTGTGAAAGACAAATTTTTTCGATCTCACCCCTTATTGCCAAAAACGATGTGAAATATAACATAAAGTTTTATGAAAACGTTTCGAGTCCCACACGGAATCTAGTCTCGTTTTCCTGTCTTTAAACATAAATAATTCTTAAAAATTTAATTTAGGAGATAGCTGAAGCATACGACGTCTTGTCTGATTCCAAAAAGAAGGAAGTTTACGATAAATTTGGTGAGGAAGGCCTGGCTAATGGTGGAGCCGGTGCTGGTCCTGCTGGAGCTGGCGGCGTTCCTGGAGGTTTCCATTATACATTTCAGTTAGTTTTTTTGATCGATTTTACAACTGATTTCTGTAAATTTCTTTAGGGGAGACCCTATGCGTATGTTCCAACAAGCTTTTGGAAATGGAATGTTCACTGAATTCACTTTTGGTGATAATGGCAATGCTGATGTATTTTTTATTTTTTTTTAAATTTTCTGATTAAAATTTCAAAATTTAGGTAGTTTTTGGAGATGGTCTCTTTAGCGGTTTCCCTGGTGGTTTTGGAGGAATGGGTGGACATGGCGGTGGAATGCCTAGACGGCCTAAACAAGATACTGCAATAGTCCATGAATTGCCTGTTAGTCTAGAAGATTTGTGTAAAGGATGTACAAAAAAGATGAAAATTACGAGGTTTTTTGTTTGTTTTTAGCGGTTTGGACTGGAACACTGTGTCCAGTCTTTCGGTGCTTCACCGATTAGCATGTTTTTGGGTGAAACATCGAGTGATCTATTAGTGAATCAGGGTTTGTGTGAACCATCATCTTACCGGTTTTCGGTGTTTCATCGACTGACCTGTTTTGGGTCTAACATCGACTGACCATAATATTGTTCAGAAGCTCGGAGAATCAATAGTCGCTTACCGGTCAATTCAATCTTTATATGCCTGGGTTTTTTTAAATTCTTGTTGGTGTTTGATGTTTGACCGAAATAATTTGTCCGTTAGACTTTTTTGTTTCTTGTCGGTGTTTTAGTTAGACGGTGTTAGCCTAACATTAAATAAGAATTTTTAAAAAATTAATTTAAATAAGTTTCAATTTTTTCAGAAAAATTGTAAACCCAGATGGCACTTCTAGGACTGAAGACAAATATTTAACAATTAATGTCAAGCCTGGATGGAAGAATGGAACAAAAATAACTTTTCCAAAGGAAGGCGATGTTTATCCAAATCGTGTGCCGGCTGACATTATTTTTGTTATTAAAGACAAGCCACATCCAAAATTTAAACGTGAAGATTCGGACATTCGGTTAATTTGGATTTTTTTTATTTTTAATAATTTTTAAAAAATTTTAGTTATAAACACACAATTCCATTGAGAGATGCCCTCTGTGGTCTTTCTTTACGAATTCCTACATTGGAAGGTGATACAATTCCTTTGAAGATTGCAAATATAGTCAAGCCTGGGTCTACTCATCGGTATAAAATTTTTTATTTTTTGGTTAAAAATTTCCCGGATTTGGGGGATCTTTTGGTTTTAGAGGAGGATATTTTCTCAAGATTGTCCAATTTTAGATTGATTGGTATGATGTCTAAATACCGAATGTTGAAATATCAAACTCCTAAAAGCAGGCCCGTAACCAGCATTCCCCTCTCTCTTCCCCTGGTTATGGCCTTGCTTAAAAGACATGCCAGAATACCAAAATGTGGATTGTTAACAACCTTTAGCGTTGACCTTTGTCTGTTTTTACCTTTGATTTGAAATGACCTTTCAAGTGACTAGACCATACCAGTTATGTTTTTTCCACAGTTTGGTATTCTGGATGCTTTTGGGTGTTTGGTATTTCAACGTTTAGTATTAAGGCATGTTCCTGTCTGGATTTCAAGCATTTATTTGACTATCTAAAATCCATTTATTTAAATCCTTCATGAACTTAACATTAATTTTATTTTCTAGGGTCAGAGCTCGTGGCCTTCCAAATCCACGTACCAACATTCGTGGTGATTTAATTGTTGAATTTGATGTTCGCTTTCCTGATTCAATATCTCCAGCAGCAAAAGAACTTATTCAAAATGCTTTGCCGCCAAATTGAGAAGAAAAATTTAAAAGGAATAAAAAATATATGTAAAATGAATTTTTGTTTTATTTTTTTGAAAAAATTTTTTTATGTATTTGAAGTAAAATATGGACTATTTTTAAATGTTTTTCTATTTAAAAATGCTTTGCTAATGCATTTTAAATTATCTTTATTTTTGATTAGAGAAAATAATTTTATAATTTAGCAAGTTAAATCATAATACAATCGAATTTCAGTAGGATATCTCTCTCGAGGGACGAAATTTTAGAGGCGTTTTAGGGAGTTGGGTTGTTAGGGAGTGATATACCCTAATAGGAAGTGATATACGAACTAAAGAGATTATTGAGATTCGATTGTGTTTTTAACCCTTGCGGAACTTAAAAACCAAAATTTTTTAGAAAAATTTTTTCGGAAGACTTTTAATTTTTTATTAAAAAATTTTTTTCTTTTGTTTCAAGGACAAATTCAACTATTACATAGCTTTGTTTAATATTTGTGACTTTTATTATAATATTATTCTACTTTTGGCACACACACTCATTGAAAAATGGCTAAAGCAGCGGCAGTATACAATAGAGTAAGGTTATTTTTATTTGCATTTTTATTCTTTTATATTTTTATATGCAGCTAGTTGTGTAGATATAAGTTTTTGCTAGTTTTGCTTTTTCTCTAGGGTGGGTAGGGTAGGCTTTTATAGGTGGACTTGGGGGAATTTACAAAAAAAATTTTAAAAAAATTCTTGGCTTAAGTGAACTTAGGATTTTGTTAAGTTGGGGGGGGGGGGGGGGCTTTACCAAAAGGGATTTTTAATTTTTTTTTTCTAGGCTTTCATAGGAAAATATTTTCTTTTTTTTTCTAGCGGTTCTAGGCTTTCATAGGTGAACTAGTCGATTTTACAAAAATTCTAAAAAAAAATTTCTGTTTACTTTAAAAATATTTTTCTTCTTTTCTATTAATAGCTAATCCCTCGTGTATTTTTTAAAAATTAAAAAAATTTTTTTTTGCTACGCATGACGCAGATTGTCCTTTCATAAAAAGGGTATTAAAAGAAACGCATTTTAGTTTAATGGTTTTAAAATGAACACACTTTTTTTATATTTTCTTTAAGTGGGGGAAAGAACTAAAATAAGAGAGAGAAATGTGGCAGCTTTTCTTAAGCTTTTTTTATTTTTTTTGAAAAAATCCTATGATTTTGTAGTGTCCTTATGATTAGCAAAATTGAGGGGAGAGGGGAGGTTATCAGCATAAGAATATTTATCTCGTGGATTTATTTTATTCTAAAAAAATTTTTAGAATAGTCTTGGGGAATTTTTAGGAGTGGTCCGCAAGTCTATTTTTCAAAAATAAAAAAATTTTTTTAAAGAAATATGAAATCAACTACCCCAACATGTTTACCTCATTCTGAAGCTTTTGTAGTTGGTGATCGTCAAAATTCCCCCGAAGATTTGGTTTTTGATCTTTTCAAAATCCCTCATCGAGATGAGGCACATGTGGGCAGACTTCTTTATGTAAGAAAAATTTTTTGATAATTTTTTAAAATTCATTTTTTAGACTCTCAGGGGCTTTGGACTTACTTCTGATGATCAACGGTAATTTTCAGAAAAAAATTTTCCTGAAAAATTTTCAAAAAATTCAAAAGAAATTTCCAAAAATTTTTTTCAGCCTAGCCCCAATGCTAGAAAAAATGCGGCAATGTTTGGATATTGAAAATAATGCAGAAGCAACAACAACTACTGTTGATGGAATGCACAAAGTAACCAATAAACATGGTGAGGAAGTCCATGGGGAAGAGCTTCATTTTGGTAGACATTTGGGCCGTGAACAATTTAAAGCGTTTGTTTTTATTTTTTGAATACTAAGTGTATACTTTAAAAGGGTTTTTGATTTGTAAATATGTTTGTAGAAACGGGTCTCACTTGGAATACCCCCAGAAATTTTAAACTGGTTGGCTTTTGTGTAGGTTAACTGCCTAACCGATACCCCTCTATTTGGGATCCTCTCAAAAAATTTTTAGAACTCCAAAGGATATACTTACAAAGGAGGCCTGACTTTAACGAGGTTTTCCGGTTGTATCTCACTTGTAGATACCTCTAAAAATTTTTAAATCTGGTTGGTCATAGTGTCTTCCTGCTTGTAAAAAATAATTTAAAAAATTTAAATTTAAATATTTTTTAGTTGTGTCCGTCCATGTATTGATCTGGTTTCACGTGCACTTCGTAATCAATTAATTATACCCAATTGGACAGAATTTACTGCTAAAATTAGAGAAATTTTTGAAGAGGTTCTTTTTAATTTTTTGGGTTCTTAAAAATGTTTCTTTTTTTTTCAGTGTCGGTCAGAGGAAGGTGGAGATGTTGCAACTTATATTCCTCAATTGGCTAGAGCAGATCCGAATCGTGTATAATAAAAAATTTTTATTCAAATTCTAGTCGGGCTTCACTCTTATAAACCTCCGAAATTAGGTTCTCCTCATATTGGGCTATGGTTTTTTAAATTTAGTTGACCTTTAGTTGGAGAGAGAGAGAGCTAGGAGTTGTCTGATGTAAGTAGAGTAAGTTGTAGAAAGGAGTTTCCGTGTGTGGAGGGTGTTGTGGAGGAGAGAGTTGCCTGGTTAAGGTGTGATATGGGTGAAATTGTTGGTGTAGAGGGAGGTGTTTGAGAATTTACACCTTACTATAAGATATGATTTTTCCGCCCCAAAAGGGTACCTATAGATAAATCTGCATTTAAAAAAAATTTCAATAATTTCCTCCTTTTTTTCAGTGGGGACTTTCAATTTGTACAATAGATGGACAACGCTTTTCTCTAGGCGATTCTCTTTTTCCTTGGTGTTTTCAATCAGTCTCCAAGGCATTCAATTATGCAATTGTTGCCTCAATTTTGGGTGATTATGTTCATTCTTTTGTTGGACATGAACCTTCTGGAAGGCTTTTTAATGAAATTTGTCTTGATTCTAGTGGAAAACCTCACAATCCAATGATTAATTCTGGGGCTATAATTGTCACGTCTTTAATGAAGAAAGGCTTGCCTATGGCTGATAGATACGATTTTGTATGATTTTTTCTTTAAATTTCTTTTTATAAATTTTTTTTATTAGGCATTGAATGAATATAAAAAGTTGGCTGGTGGAGGATATATTGGCTTCAACAATGCAACGTATTTATTTTTATTTTTGTGGCTTTTTAAGAACCGGACCGCGCTATAGGCTGGGGCTGAAAAATTCTTTTTTATTTTAATGGTTGGTGTCTTAAATAGGGAGGTATCGCTTGAGGGCTTTTCCCCTCTTCCACCGACCTGTCGGGGATCAATTCATTTCTAAAAAGGCGTATCCTTAAAAAACGTACCTGAAAAGCTTCCCCTTACCTTCTCTAACTTGTTGAAGATCAATTCCATATTTCTAAGGAACTATCTTAAATTGAGTTGTATTTTATTATGAGGATCGCCTCAGGATAATGAACAATTCCAGACTCCTTATAAACGTTTGTCAAATTAATTTAATTTTTTTCCAGATTTTTGTCAGAAAAGAAGACAGCAGATAGGAATTATGCATTATCCTACTATATGAAAGAAAATAAATGTTTTCCTTCTGATATAGAAAGTATTCGAGATGAATTGGATTTTTATTTTCAATTGTGTTCTTTGGAAACTAATTGCGAGGCTGCTGCTGTATTTTTTTAATTTAAAAATTTTTTTCCTTCGATTTTTTCAAGGTAATGGCTGCTACTTTAGCTAATGGAGGAGTTTGTTCATTAACTGACCAACCATGTATTCAAAGTCGGGCGTGTCGTGATGTTCTTTCTTTAATGTATTCCTGTGGAATGTATGATTATTCTGGACAATTTGCTTTTGATGTTGGGTTACCTGCAAAATCTGGTGTTTCTGGTGGAATGATTTTGGTTTTTTTTTTAAATTTATTTTTTAATTAAAGTCGAGACCTCACTATAAGATGATCACATGCTCTAAAAGTTAAAATAGAGGGGGTGTTTACATTGGAGACAATATATAAGTTTAGAAATGTGATTTGATCTAAAGATAGGGATCAGTTTGTTCATTAACTGACCAACCATGTATTCAAAGTACCTTATGTTTAGACAGCCTCCAGTGTGGTCTCTCACATCAGATCCTTCCAAAACGTATCTTGAATCGAGTAATTCATACATGGGTATCTACTTAATACTGAAGTCGGACTGTTCCTCTTACCAAATAGGAAGTCTGTCTATTATGCTTATCCTAAGGGACAGCTTCCTCCAGTAGAGGGAGGGGGATCTCCCAAACCCTTCTTACAATGTTGTTCGACTTTTTCTCCCAATCTCTTTTATTTTTAAAGGTAATTCCAAATTTAATGGGTATTTGTTTATTTTCTCCTCGACTAGACAGAATGGGAAATACAACTAGAGGTGTTCTATTTTGTCAAAAATTGGTTGATATTTTTAATTTTCACAATTATGACTCGTTATTGCATGCTGATTCAAAGAAAATTGATCCTAGAAGGAGAATTGGAAATAAGGAAACTGACCTGGTTTTTTTTTTAAATTTTTTTGAAAATTAATTTTTTATTTTAGGTTGTAAATTTATTATTTGCTTGTAAAAATGGCGACTTGGAGACTGTTAGAAAGTATATATTTATTTTTTTAAATTTTAGTCGAACCTCATTTTTCGATACCCCCATTTAAGCTGACAAAACCGTACCTTATGATGAGCAGTAATTTAAATGGAGGGTATTGCTTACGAGGTTTCCTTCCTTCACCCATTGTTCAATTTAATAGCTGAAAAAATCTGGGTGTATCAAAATTAAAATTTTTTTTTGAAATTTGATTAAACATTAGATCAAGACACAGATCAAGGCACACCCTCCAATGTAAGGTACACTTCATTATAAGGTGTAATTTTTCCAGTCCTAAAGGGTGGGATATCTAAAAGTGAGTTTCGACTGTCTCTATTAATTCATCAAAAAATTTTTTCTTCCTTCAGACTTCACCTTCAAGGAATGAATTTAAATATTGTTGATTATGATGGTCGTACAGCCCTCCATTTAGCTGCTTCTGAAGGACAAACAGTTATTTTAAGATTTCTTTTACAAATTGCAAAAGTTGACCAAACTATTCGTGATCGTTGGGGACGGACAGCTTTGGATGATGCTAGAACATTTCATCGAACAGCTTGTATGGCTCTTTTACTGAAAGCAGCACAGAGGAAACAACAAAAAACACAACAATCAAAAAATACTACTAAAGGGTTTAAATTTTAAAATTTTAATAATTTTCTCTGACCATTATGGGTCATTGACCATTTGTAAATTTTTATAAGAAATGGAGTAACTGAAAAAGTAAATTGTGGGAAAGATAGGGTAATTTAAGGAAATTTAAGTAACAGTAGAATAGCTAACTAAAAAATTTTTTTGGTCCTTATTGGAGTTGTGTTTCTTTAAATCCGTGCAATTTTTTGTCCTTGAGTCTTACTTTTTTTTGGTTTCCTTTAAAAGAATTATTTTAAAAGAGGTAAAGGAATGTTTCCAAGATTAATTGAAGTTTAAAAATCTGTTAATTTTCTACACCAAAAAAAATTTTTTGAGAAAAATTTAAAAAATTTGAACTTGCGAATAAAAAGTTGCGGATTTTTTTTTGGAAATTTCAAAAATCTTCAAAAAATTTTCCTTTTTTTAAAGTTTGACTGTATTAGCGGCAAATAACAATAATAATAATGCTGGACATTTACCAATAACAACAAATACATCAACAACAATAGAAAGTAGTGGAGGTGAAGAAGAAGGAGAATTGGAGGAAGACGAGGATGAAGAATTGTTAAGGTCAGAAGAAGGAGGAAGTATGTGGGATGATGATCAACCTTTATCTACTACAAATAATAAACATCATAAAGGAGGAGGAATTGTTAGTGGAAGAAGTTCAAAAGCAGCAGCTACAGCAAAATGGATGATTGAACATTGTGTTGATAGACTTTCTTTGGGAGGTAATGATGAGGCTATGGAAAATGGTAAATAATTAAGGAGAAATTTTTAAAAAAATTTTAAAATGTCAGGAGAAAAGAGTCGTCGTTTGGACAATAATAAAAATGGTGGGGGTCATCAACATAAACAAGCAGCAATTATTGCTAGCAGTAAATTTCATACAAGTACGGGAGACTAATAAATAAATGTAAAAAATAGGACTAATACATTCTATATAAAAACCTTAAATGCTCTAATTAAAGCCCTGGACTTGTATTTTTCAATTAGTCGCTTTTGCTGGCTTGGGCTTCTATTGGAGAGTGGGCGTTTATTTTTCAATAGACTGCTCCTTAGAGGGCTCTTGTATTAAATATGGGCTTCTATTAGAGAGTGGGTTTTAATTTTTCAATAGGCGCCACCTTGAGTGGGCCTATATTAGAGATTAGATACGGACTTGTAATAAAGACGGGCTTTAGTTAGTGTATATTTAGGGTTTATTTTTTAATATAAAAAAATATTTTTTAATGTAAAAAATAATATAGAGATCTCAAAGAAAAATATTTGTAAAAATAAATTAAAATAAATATTTACACAAACTTTTGTTTCTTTTTAAACATTGTTGAACAACGTCTCTTCATTTACTATTGTCTTCCATTCCCTCTTGAGTGCCAAACTTTTTTGAGCTTTTTCTGCTTTTGAATGTTTTCCTCCTTTAGTCTTTTTAAGGAATCTTTCTTCGGCTTTGCTTAAAAAGAAAAATTTTAATTTTAGTCTAAAAATTATAAAAGTAACTATTTATCGTCGTCATTCAATTCGTAATAGTTATCCATATCAGTTAAGGAAATTGATCTTTTTGCCTTCATTTTTTCAGATTTTTGTTGTAAATTGACGTCAAAAATGTACAATAATAAATTCAGAGATTTAATTAACTAAAGGCTCTGAAATGATTTAAAACCGATTTTTGGACAAAGGTGGGCTAGGTTTTTAAATTTTAGTTTTGAGCAAAATTTGAAAATTGGCCAACCATGGCTTACGATATTAATTTGAAAATTAAAAATGTTGGCATTATGTTTATGCCTTATAAATGACATTTAATCCTTTTATTTTTCTCATATTTGCCAAAAACACATTTTGCCAAGAAGGCTGAAAATTAACGTTTTGCCAATAATTTTGTTGACAAAATGAGTATATTTGCCCTTATTGGCAAAATGTGGTTTTGACAAAATGTGAAGACTCGCTTTTTTCCTTTTATGAAGAAATACTTCGGTTAGAGAAAAAAAACGATTTTTTGTTGTTTTCTATTTTGCTTAATTGATTACTTTTCTTTTGTTTATTCTTTTACTTTCCCTTTGTTTATTCTTTCTACTTCATTTTGCATTGTCAATCAGTTAATCTTTTGTTAATTTTTCAGATTTATTACAAAACAAAAGCTTAGATTTTTCAAAAAATGTCCTCGTCTGCAGCTGATTTGGCTAATGAATATGAACGGTTTTTTAATAGTTAATGTATTTAAATTTATTTCTTTTTAGTGGTGAAATCGACGAAGTTCCAAAGGGTACCAAAGGAAAGCGTTCGAAGGCTGAACAGGTTTTTTGTTGTTTTTAAGGGTTGTGTGTTAGTTTGAGTTTGGGACAGGCCTTGGGCATGAATAGGGTTGACTTTTGGTTTTGTTTTTAGGACATCTGATCTTGAATCTAGGTACCAAAAATTGTTTTCATTAAAAACCTTTGTCCTTGTTTTATGGTAGATTATTGACAAAATAGTTAATTGGATGGTTTGTTGACCATTTGTCTTGGGGATCTATTTTATAGGGAAAATCAGGTCCTTAAATAACCCTTGGAAATATTCAATGTACTTGTCACATGGACGTGTCTTTTTTTTTGCCTCCCTGGGTTTCATTTCAAATCTTTTTATTTAACATTTAATATTTTAGGTCGAACATAAACATGCACATCCAGAAGGTGATACTCGCCGTATTGTTGGTATGATTTTTAATTTTTCGGTTATTAACTTTCCACATTTCCAGAAAATGCCTTAAACGGTGAAGAGAAGCGCAAAGAGAAGGAACGCGAACGAACTACTTCAGGATCTTCAAAGAGTGAGAAGTAAATGTTGGAAGAGGATAACAGGATGATGAACGATATTATATGTTAAAAGAATATCGTCTTTCTAGAGAAAATACATTTTCGTATTTTAAAAATGTTGAAAAAAATTTATTTAAAAAATCTGGTAATTTTATTTGTAAATTATTTATAAATGTTTAAAAGATTTTTTAATTTTTGATGGGTTTTTAACCTATAAATATTTTTTAATTAATTTTGACTTGTGGGCCATCCCAAGCAGTTTTTGCGGACTTATTTATGCGGACTCATAATGGTCAGATAACCATTAAGAAGCTTCCAATATTTATTTCGAGCACTCATCATTTCTTCAAATACTTTTTTACTGGATAGAAGGAGGGAATTGACCCTCTGACCATTATGAGACCTTTGTGCTTATGAGTCCGCACAGATATGCCCGTAAAAACTGGTTTGGGATAACCCACAGATACCATTCTTTTTTAAATTTTTTCAGAAATTTTCTCTTTTTTTACTATTTTTTGGAAGAAAAAATGGAAGAGGAAGGTTATTCAAATGATTGGTTTTTGGATGATGTCAATTCAAGCTTAAACACAATTCTCGCTATGATTAAAACGGACACTCAACAATTACCTCATTTTGATTTGCTTGGACAAATTAGGCAGTGTTTGGAATGTTTGGCTTGTTCTTCTCCTGAAGAAATGGCTTCGCAACGAGCGCGATTTGTTAGTCTTTCTTGGCCTGCCGATTTGCGTGTTGTTCTCCAAAGGCTTTTTAGAACATTTGGAATACGTAAGATTTTTTTTAATCAGTTCATTTACTTTAACTTTGTGCCCCATTTATTCGCAAGGCGAACGCCTCGCCGATCTCATTATGAGCACTTTGACCGTTTTACGCTTGTGATTAAATGTCGTTTAGTCAAATTAGGGTGAATTTTAGTGATGGGCCCTGCCGTTTTTAAGAATTGAAAGGGTCAAAAAAGCACATTCTGCAGGCGCAGCAGAAGGTAAAATGCTGAATCAAAAATGCGGAATAGGTAGCCAATCCCTGGTGAGTATTCTTGCGTGTAGTCCTGCGAATAAATGGGGTGGGTAGTACAAAACTTAGAAAAACCTTCAAAAATTTTCAGCAGAAGAGTATGTTCGGTTAAGTTATGAAATGAGCAATTTTGCTTCTCAAACTCTTGGAAATGATTGGTTACGTTCCGATTTGAAATTTCTCAAACTTTTGGCTAGTTTATCGAGTGGACGTCTTCGAGTGATTTTGGATGAACCCGACAAAGTTTTTTTGAATTTTTAAAATTTAAATTAAATTTTTTTGAGGTCGATGTTGACCAACTAATTGCTTGTCTTCATTTACAAGAATTTTTTATTGGATGTGTGGAAGATGATTCAGATTGGCTTGGGGATGATGAGTAGGTTTTAAATTCTTTCTTTTTTCTTATGTTAGTTTTTTTGGTTTCCTGGTTCTTTCTTTGATTTTTTGGCTTCAAGGTGTCCAAGGAATTTTTGGTCTTGCTAGTGAACGTTATATTTTCTTAATTTTCTGAATTCTTTCCTGAACTTGAAACTCTGGGATCCGGCCAGGTCAACGGATAGGAAACTTATTTTTCGACTTCCTTTTTTCTGCCTTTGTTTGACTTCCTTTTCATGGTCTCCAAACTAAGGATCCGACTAATGTCAGTGGATCAAGTCTAGAGACTTTGCCCATACCTTGTTGGACTCTTAGTTTGGTCTTTTTCTCACTCGAAATTCCAGTTCTAGTCGAGTCAATAAATTGAACCTAAAGTCTATCCCTTTCCTGGGCTTTTGAAATCTCGATCTCTACGTTACAATCAAAGTTTCCGTTTATATCTAATTCTTTTTCAGCGCAACATTTTTAAGTAAAAATTGCCAAGAAGCCTGTACCTTTATATGTGAATATGTTATTGAATGTGACAAGCAATCTATTGATACTTCAAGAAATGCAAATTTGTTTTTGGCCCTTTCTCATTATTTTTACGAATTTTTGAAGATTGGAGGAGCTCAAATATTGGAAAAAAATTTATTGGAAAAAGTGACACCTTTATTTGACAAAATTTCGAGTTGGTTATTTTTTTAAATAAATTTTTTTGTTTAATTATTTAATGGGGTTGTTGTGTTTTACATGGGGATTTTAGTTATTTAATAGAAATTTCCTAAGGGTTTCAAAAAAATTCCTTTAAGGGGGTGTACTTTTAAAACCGAAACTGGGCGGTTTTGGAACTCCGTTTTTACGGTTATTATCAGTTTTCCGACCCACTGTTTTTAGGCCTGTTTCGGTCAAACGTCCGCCAACAATTCTATTGCTTAATTTCAATTTTTTATAGAAATTGACAACACAAGAAGTGAAGAAATGGAACAGATAATCCCAGTGAAAACTACTTGATTTTTTTTTTATTTTGAAATTTTTTTTTTATTTTTTAAAATAAGATTATATAATTTATATTCAGGTTTTATTTTTACTTTTCCTCTTTTTATATTCGTAAATATGCGAATTTATTTTTTTAAACATTACTTTCTCAAAATAATTTTTTTAAAAACAATTTTTCAGCATCTTAAATTTGTGTTAGACAATCGCTCTTTTGCTGATTGGCTACTTTTTTTTGCACACACACAAACAATTTGAAAAATAAGAGCTGAAGGGCTGGTGTCCTTCACATTTTTCCCCATTCAATCCTCCCTTAGCAAATACATTTTTAAAAAAGATTATTTTTCTCTGTTTTATACGACATATTGACTAGTGGGGGATGGATGGCTATTTAAAAATAATTTTTTTGAAAGACATTTTTGGCTTGTTATTGTGTGTAGGTTTTTTAGTTGAGCAACTGTACATGTGTGTGTGCAAAAAAAAACAATAAAAAACTTTATTTTAGAGAAAAAATTTTTTAAAAAATATATGGATAATTTGACCATTTCTACAACAAATAAAAATGCTTGTAAACAAAAGGATGATGATGACACCAATAAATGCGTTTCTTCAACAATTTCTTTTATTTTAGACAAAATTTGTTCTTCATCAGAATTAAATACAACAATCAAATCTTCAAATCATTTACCTCTTCGATTTGTTGTGGCAACAGAAAATAATCAATATTTGGCAAGTGATAAAAATAAGCAAGACTTGGAGGTTTTTTTTTAATTTTATTAAGAATTGGAAAAATAATTTTTTTAGTGTTCTGTTCCTTCAAATACGCCAACAACTTGTGTTGCAAGTACTCCAGCGACGATTAGTTCTTTTCAGTCTGGTTCAAACAAAAATAGGTTTTTTATTTTCCTTATTTGAGATTTTTACGTCAGGAACTTCAATTTTTTCAATAGTGGGATAAAATGTCATCTGTCAAAAAAATTTTTTTTGACTATATCTTTTGACTTTTTGACGATATCTTTTAAATAAGTAATGGTATCAAATGTAATCTTCCCCAATTTCCTTTTTCGACATTAAATCCATATTTTTTTTGTTCCTTTTTTTGAGTAAATTAATAAAATTCTTCCTTTTTCCAGTTCTCTTCCAACTACAAAAAATATCAATATAAATAATTCTCATCAAGTAACTTTACGAAAAATGAGTATACAACCTCCGCCAGTTGCTAGAATTGCTCCAAAATCAGCAAAACCAAAATTAATTCCTATACATCATCAGGTAGTACCTTCTTCAAATAATGAGAATGGCAAAAATATTACTCAACAAATTCCTCAAGGTTTTTTATTTTTTATTAAAAATTTTTTTGGCATTTTTAGAGCAGTCAAAAATTTTTTGTAAAAATTTTTTGTGCTTTAAAAATGTCGAAAAATGTTAGGTGTTTGATTTTTTTCTCAAAATCGTTTTTGTCTAAAAAATAGGCGAAATCCATTTAAGGAATCTAATCCGCCCTAATATTTTTCCCTTTTTTAATTTTTTATTTATTCAGCAACAATGTCAGGAATTTCCCCCTATTCATTAAACACAGCTTCAACAAAAGCTTTAATACAAGAAAATAAAACAACAAAAACATCTTCAACAATTTTTTCTGCACCTTCAGTTAAAATAAATACATCAAAATTAGTTGAAATGTCTTCAAATCTTGGCGGTTCTTCTTCAAATAATTCATCAAATTCTTCATCTCCAATTATTATACAAACTTCAATTAATTCACAATCATCAAAAAATATTTCAACAACAACATGTGGGTCGTTAACAACAGCACCAAAAATTGTTTTTACTCTTAAACCTGCTCCAATTTCAAGTATTGTTGGTAGTGGTGGAATTATGGATAATAATAATAAAAGGTTTATATTTATACTTTTTGGATCTTTTTAAATTGGGAAAACTTCCTTAATCATGATAATTTTAAAATTATCCCACTTAACCAAAAAACTTTAACCAAACCCGTCGTCTTGGTTAAGTGGGATAATTCTCTGAAAAATTTTGTTTTGTTTTCAGAAAATTGTAAAATTATCCCACTTAACCAATAACTTCAATGTTGTCCGAAATTTTTATTTTAAACATGGAGTTTATGTTTATGTGAGATTTCTTTAAGTTTGCTTGGTCTTTAGGAAGAGGGAAGGAGCTGCCTTCATTTAAGATAAGATTTTTTCTGCCTCACGTGTGGTGTCTTTAAAAAAAGTTCGACTGAACTTAAAAGGGCCATTTTTACTTAAAAAATTATTTTAGCATTAGAACAACAATTTCTTCTTCGTCGGTTTCTTCAGCAATAACCACAACATCAACAACTCAAATACAACCTCCACCTTTGTGTATAACTCCTCCAAAAAATAATAAAAAATCTCCAATAAAAAGGCCTAATCAATTAATTGCTACAACAACAACGTCAAATAATAATTCAAATTTATTTGAAGATTCATCAAAAATGTCTTGTTCTTCAATTAATTGTAAGGAATTTTTTTTAGAAAAATTCAAAAGAAATTTTTTTTCTAGCAAATCAATTTCCTTCATCTTCCCCTCTATTGGATTCTAACGATTTGTTGACAAACACAGTAAATAAAGTTGCTTCTGGAGCAGATATTTCTCCAACAAATTTGGAAGAGGGTACTTCAACAAAAACATTAATGTCCTCAACTTCAACCTCATCAACAACATCAAATTTGGCAAAGCCAAAACAACCAAAAAAGAAAGCTCCAATAAAACCAAAAATACTTGTTGATGAACAAAGGAAAAATTCTGTAAAAATACAGCCTGCAGTTGCTGTGCCTTGTATTTCTCCTCAAATTTTTGGAGCGAGTCCTCCACAGGTTTTTTATAAAAATATTTTTTCTTTAAAATTTTTAAAATTATTTCTTATTTCTGGAATCAAATGGTTATTTTACGGCCAGGGTTTAAGCAAAATCTAGGAACTAATAATTTTTGAGACGTTTCTCAAAAGCTTTTAGTCATTTTCATTATTTGGCATTTCAATGGCTTTTGAGAGCACTTCATATTTCAGAGACCCCCCGTGACTAAATTTCGAAACCTGGTGTTAAATATAGTAAACAGTCTTGAATTAACCTACTCAAAACTTAGAAAAATTTTTTTTTGTATTAGGCACAGATTGCATCTATTCCATTGGAAAGTAATGTTGTTGCTGATACAACACCTCCAACAGCAGCAGCAATTTGTAATTCGAACGGTCAACAAGCCTTTCCTTCGACGGGAATGTTGCTTCCTTCAAATTCTCAATTTGCCTTGGTATTTTAAAATTTTTCTAATCGAAAAATTTTATTTTTAGGCGTCTAATGGAAATTTATTTTCTAATTATGGAACTAATTTTGTAATTAGACAGGTTTTTTTTAATTTTATTCAAGAAAAATTAAATTTTATATAAATTTTAGCAACCTTCTGCTGTACCTATTGCAAATGTTTCTGGACAACAACAGCAGCCACAACAATTTGTTCAAATAATGCCTCAACAAATATTTTTTTCTCCAGTGCAACAGAT